TATTTTCACTCAATTTTTCTGGCTGTTTTGTGGCTGTTTTCGGGCCACTTTCTAGGCCATTTTCAGCCCATTTTCTGGGCCATTTTCAAGTCATTTTTCAGTCCGTTTTGGGGGCCATAATCAAGCCATTTTCAAGCCATTTTGGGGGGGTATTTCCGGGCCATTTTCAGGACATGTTTCCGGCCATTTTCCTGCCATTTTATGGGCTGTTTTCAGGCCATTTTTCAGGCCGTTCTTCAGTGAAGAATGCCTGTGAAGACCAGCTGGCAATGGCATACATGCCCACAGAGAGGGCTTTGTGTGCTACCCCGGGCGCACATGCCATAGATTGGCCATCGTGGAGATAGATGGGTAGGTGAAGAAGGGAATACAGGTAGTTCTCAACTTACAACTATTCACTTAGTCACTGTTCAAAGCTGAAAGTGACTCACCTTTGTGATGGGGGCAGCGTCTTGGGAATCTCCTGATATCCTTTGGCGACCTTCTGAACAGCGAAGTCAATGGATTCACTTAATGACTATGTTGGTAACTCAGTGGCAAGGAAGATCATAAAGCAGCGCAAAATTCACTTAGCAACAGAAATCTGGGCCCCCGTTTGTGGTTGTAAGTCAAGGACGACCCGTATCCATCACTAAAAAAAAAATCTGATAGGGTAGAAATTTAGGGGAGGTTAAAAAAAAGGACGACAAATCCCATTCAGCTTCGGCCGGTTGATGGGCTGCATTGCTGCTTCTCCAACCTTACAGCCATCACTTCCGTTTTGATTTGTTTTGTTGATTTATCTGTGTGATGTGCAATGCTCAGTTTAAAAAGAGCAATAAATATATTTTTTTTTTAAAAAACCTGTCACAATTTAAAATAATAATCATAGATTATTGTCTTTTGGGACCCCCCCCCATTCTATTCCATTCCTTTTTGTTTTTCTATTCTATTCTATTTTATTCTAATTCTATTCTCCATTAATTCTATTCTATTCTTTCTATTCTATTCCATTCCATTTTATTCCATTTCATTCCATTCCATTTTTCTATTTTATTCTACTCTAATTCAAATTATATTCTCTATTAATTCTATTCCATTCCATTCTATTCCATTCCATTTTTCTGTTCAATTCCATTCTATTCCATTTTTTCTATTCTATTCTCTATTAACTCTGTTCTATTGTATTCCATTCTATTCCATTCTATTCCATTTTTGTATTCCATTTCATTCTATTCTATTTTCTATTCTATTCTGTTCTATTCTATTTCATTCCATTTTTCTGTTTTATTCTATTCTGTGTTCTATTCTCTATTAATTCGATTTTACTCTATTCTGTTCCTTTCCATTTTCTATTCCATTCCATTTCATTCTATTTTATTGTATTCTCTATTAATTCTATTCTATTCTATTCTATTTCTATTTCTATTCTATTCTATTTCTGTTCTATTCTATTTCTGTTCTATTCTATTTCTATGTCATTCCATTCCATTCTAAACGTATTCTATTTTAATGTAATTATTTGCTTTCCACTTGGCTTGCCCATTGTTTTGGCTCGTCAGAAGTTCACAAAAGAGGAATCGTGTGACTCTGGGAAACTGCAACCATCATAAGTACATGCCAGTTGCCAAGCCTCTGAATTTTGATCCTGCGATCGTGGAGGATGCTGCAAGGATCAAGTGTGAAAGTTGGCCCCTCAGTTCCTTTTTTTTCCCCCTGTGCTTTAAATGATCCCTAAATGAACGGACTGCCTGTTGCTGAACAGAAGCTAGACATAATGATCTTCTCTGGCTCATTTCTGGCTCAAAGCATTGTTGCCCTCGTTCATTGTTCATGGGCAAATCATAAATAATCTTCTTTAATTGTCCATGGATTCCATATCCATTTAGCCTGTTCTGCTACCTGTCCTGAAATTGGATTTAATTTGTTTAATTGAATAATTTAATTGAGTAATAATATCAAAGAACGAATGAGCTTTTGTGGGCAACATCTAGGTCACGAGCCTTGTGTTTTTTCCCCGCCGTGCTTGGCAAAACACTGACAGGAAAACCTCTTTTCTTCCCTCTAAAAACCAACAAACAAAGCAGAAATAAATTGGTTTCTCCCTTCCATTATTCTGCTCCACCTTTGGGCAGGCAGTCCTCGCTTAGCGACCGTTCGAAGTTGCAACGGCAACGGAAAAAAGCGGTGTGCCACCAGCCTTCACAGCAGCATCCCCCGAGATCCTGTGGGAATCGACATTTGGGTGGCATAGATTTAAAAAAATGGATAGGAATCACGGGATCCTCCTTTCCTAGCGGCTTCCGATAATGAGGGAAGCTGGATTTGTTTAATGACCGCCTGAGTCACTGAAGAACTACAGGGATCGGCTGAAAGACCAAGACACAAACACAAGCATAATTCACTTATCAACCTCTAGGACAAAAATCCGGGTTACAAATTGTAGGTGGAATAGGATCTTGGACACCATGCTAATAGTCCCTTCCCTCAATCCATCCTTGTCTCCTGCTTGAGTGGTGGGGGGGCTGGACTAGAGGACCTCTAAGGTCCCTCCCGGCTCTATTCTGATGAATCTGATTCGGACCAAGCCACGCAGAATTTCTTTGGGACAGGTCAGGAAACGGTGGTGAAGGCACCGATGCATTCTCGCCAGTCTGGCTCTCTGACTCAGCGGCCTTCCCTCTGGGAGCTGCTCAGCATGGCTGGCATAGTTTAACCTCAGAAGCATCTTCAAATTGACCAGTGACTTCAAAGGATGGGTGTTTGGATGGTTTATGGCAGTCACGTCTTCCTTCTGAGCCCGGGGCATGATCTGGTTGGGCTGGACCAAACCTGGGACCTTCTCAAAACAACAAAAAACACCTGGGAACCTACTCCAGCCTCTCAAGAAGGGGATCCTATACCATTTTAGAATTAGAATCCGGTGGCGTTTCGCTTCTCCTGAGCAGGAAGATTCTCCAAGAAGATGAGAAGTGACACGTCTTCAAAGAAATACCAGAGAGTCCGGTTGCCTCTTGGGGGGTGAAAAAGCACCTTTCGGAGTATCCACCACTTATCTTTTCCCTGGTTCATCATCCTCACAGTCAGGAAGTTTCTCCTTAAATTCCGGGTTGCCTCTCTGCTTGTTCCCATGTGTTGTTTCTTAATAGCAGCATAACTGAGTTGGAAGGGACCTTGTAGGTCATCTAGTCCAACCCCCCCCCCCCCCCCCAGCAGAAGACCCCACACCCTTTCTTACAGATGGCAGTCCAGTCTCTTCTTGAAAGCCTCCAGGGATGAAGCTCCCACAACTTCTGAGGGCAACTTCTGTTCCATGGGTTGATTGTCCTCACTGTCAGAAAGTTTTCTCCTTATTTCCAGGTTGAATCTCTCCTGGATCGGTTTCCATCCATTATTCCCTGTCTGGCCTTCAGGTGCTTTGGAAAATAGCTTGACCCCCACTCCTCCTCTCTGGGGCAGCCCCTCAAATACTCGAAGACTGCTATCATGTCCCACCTAGTCTTCTTTTCTCTAGACTAGTCAAACCCAAATATTGCAAACATTCTTCATATATTTTAGTCTCCAGGCCTTTTAATCCTCTTAGTTGCCCTTCTCTGAACTTTTTCCAAAGTCTCGGCATCTTGTGTGTGTGTAACGTGGTGACCAAAACTGGGTGCAGGATTCCAGGTGTGTGGCCTTACTAATGCTTTACAGAGTGGCACTAATCTTTCATATGATTTTGATTCTCTGCCTCTGTTTATACAACCCAGGATCGGATTTGGGTTTTTTGGCTGCTGCTACATACGCAGCTGGCTCGTTTTAAATGCCGTTTGGGGTGGGGAGGGAAATAAGTGGGAATACAGAAGAGGTTTTCCAGTGAGAGACAAAACAACATGTATAGAAAATGATAACAGATAATCAGAGTTGGAAGGGACCTTGTAGGTCATCTAGTCCAACCCCCAGCCCAAGCGGGAGACCCTACACCATTTCTGACAGATGGCAGTCCAATCTCTTCTTAAAAGCTTCCAGGGATGAAGCTCCCACAACTTCCGAGGGCAACTTCTGTTCCATGGGTTGATGGTTCTCCCTGGGGGATTAGCAGAGTTGGAAGGGACCTTGTAGGTCATCTAGTCCAACCCCCCTGTCCAAGCAGAAGACCCTATACTATTTCTGACAGATGGGCAGTCCAGTCTCTTCTTGAAAGCCTCCAGGGATGAAGCTCCCACAACTTCCGAGGGCAACTTCTGTTC